AAGATGTTCAAAACACCAGTGTTACATTTAGTGTTGATTAAATTAATGAATACAAATATGCTTTATAAACAGTGCAGTTTTTTGTTTTTATTACATAAACCATTGAGCTGTTTAGTGTCTTGTGTAACTAAACAACTCTCCACACTCTACAATGAGACCAAGCAGCTGGTGATTCCAAATCATACATGAGTTAATTGATGTACTTAAGAAAACTTAAAGTTAATAATTCTGCATTAATATCATTCTCTTGGAAAAATTCCAGGAGAATGACAAACATGTTGGTTTTATGAAAAGAAAAGCAGAATGGGGAAAGATAAAAAGTAGAATTCCTAACTAAGGTCGTCATTTTTATATAACATAATTACTTTCATTCCATTTCTCTACCCAACAGTGTTTAAGCTGAAGTCTGGAAGCCAAGTTTGTACCATTTACTGTGAGTAAAAACTGCTCACCTCTCCCTCAGACTTGACTCCCACCACCTTCCCATTCTCCATCACGATCTCCTCTATGGGCTTGTTCAACATGTACGTCCCACCAAAGATGGCACTCAACCTGTGATAGAACCAAACAAGAAACACTGCAACACAAATTAAAGTTTCACAAAAGCCTTCAATGAAGTTCTGCCAGCAGGTCTAACTGAAAAACATTGAGCTCTTCTTTTATTGCCTTAAGAAAGAAGCGTTCTTCTCTTCATCTACAAAGAGACATTACTTCATGATAGTAATGTCTTCATGATAGTCAGTGTTTCACAGACAATTAGGGCCCCGCCAACGAGACCAGCCCTTCAACTCCAATAAGGTGGCTATATGTGGTAATAGAAGGTAGTCATGGTTACAGATGCTACTATTGATTTTATTAGCCTAAGTAAAACCAGATCACGTCATGAGCCATTTCTGTCCCCATATGGTCGCTCATCTACTTTCACCTCTCAAACTTATAGTTTATAGCTGACTCACTGAACTAGGTGAGAAGATGTATGCACCAAGCCACACTGCTTGCATGAGCTCATTGATAAAGACATGTACTTATACTCTGTGAGGTGCAGTCACACACACGTTCAGTGGACACACACTCCAGCCAGTGGACAGCGAACCACAAGGATACCAGCAGTTTTTAGATGTGCTGAATTTCATTCCGATGGCAGAGTCGTAACTCTCCGACTCAGGAGCTCAGTCAGGTTTTATGTTAGTTTTCTTTTACCTCTCAGACTTAAAGTGCTGAAACACAAAGAAAGTCAACCAGAGTGCAACCAGTAGAGGTCTGAACAATAAAGTCATTCAAGTGACTGGTGTATCTTTGATGTTAGAGAAACATCTGCAGACCTCAGCTGATGCGCCGTATCACTGATTGTCATGGCAGCAGGCCTCTGATGAGGCTGTAGGAATTTAAATCAACAGAGGCCGATTGTTTTTGACGGGCATCACACAATGCCATTTGTTTCACAATTTCACACCCTATGTGACTGCATCAAGTTTCAAGAAGTCAAAACACACTTGCACTGGCAACAGCTGGTTCCATACAGACTTTATGAGGGCAAAGAAAGCTTAAAGTAGGGCGGGAATTACAGTTGTATGACTGAACTGTCTTAGGATTGTTGTGCTACTTGGTACAAACAGGAAAGTTAGAGATGCACCAATCAATTGGCCAGAAATGGGAAATAATTTTCAGCTCTGATCTGAGATCAGCATTTCAGTGCTGAATACTGAAAATGTTTTTTTTCCCCCTAGTTGGTCATTAAATGCATCAAAACTAAGAACTCCTGCCATTAAGGTATATAAATGAGACATACTGGTGTTTATGTAATTCCATCTTTACTATTAGATTCCAAATTCTTTGTCTACCTATGAGCTTGCAGCACACTAAGTTGTGTGTTATACGAGTTAAAAATTACTAATTAAAACAAGTCAAAATCAAAATTGCTATGAAGACTTTAAGAAAAACCAGAAATTTATGTTGGCCAGAAAAAAAGCATCTCTAGTTATGAATTCTGCCCTGCAGGAGGAAGCTCCCTCTGCTTTCACTCCTCTACAATTATCTGGGATTGTTTCACTAATGGAATGAACAGGTGATGTATAGCAGACTGCAAGCAGAGTGAACTTAACGCCCTAAGATTCATGCAGGCTGAAGGATTCAGATCAACTCATAGAAGGGATGATTGAAATAAAAGCCAACTCTTAGTAATATAAAATTCCATTTGCAATTTAAGAAAACAAAAAGCAAAAAAACGATTACAGTCAGAAATCAAATTTGGTATAATTTATACAGAATCTCAAACAGAAAACATCAACCCAACCCAATGTCACATTCTAAGTTGCAGTTTCCCTACACACACACGCACACACACACACAGTGGACCCCAGGAGAAGTGTGGTACCTGGCGAAGCCCTGCGGCAGCTCTCCCAGGCCATACAGAGGGTAGAGGTACGGGCTCTTGCCGTATCTGGCCAGAGATTCGCTGTAAAGCTTTATTCTGTTTATCGTGTCCATGCAGGGTTGATCCAGGTACCTGAGGGAAGACGACGACACATTAAGCATCCAGAACAGAGCATAGAAGACCAGAAAACATTAACCAGAGGCAGAACTGACTCGTCTGTGCGGTAGAGCGCCAGGGAGTGGCCGGTAAAGTCGATGACTTCCTGTCCCAGGCTGAACTTCTGGAAGATGGCCCTCATGGTGGTCTTTTTGGGATCCACGCCTTCCATGGTTTTAGGGTCATTCTCGTCGAAGTTGGCAACAAAGACCAAGAACTTCCGGAAGCGTCGCTTCTCAAACAATCCCATCAGGCCTTTAGCAGAAGAGAACGAGCTGTGAGTGAAGGAGCTGATTTAATGAGAGCAGAGATCACATCCCAAACAGTCACTACTTACTGGATGCCAGGGCCTCAGTCTCAGTGGAGGGCACTTTGTAGATCTTCCCTCCCTTGTACACATAACTGCCTTCAATCACCTTGAAGTCCAGGTAGCGAGTCACCTGTGTGATCAGCAGCATGCGGACCAGCTGGCCTACAAACACAGCAACATTAACCTCATGACCTCAGGCGGAGCATCTGTTAACCTGACATTCTGATAGCTGCTCTAAATCCTTACTCAACTTTTCTTTGATAATACCAATAATTTGCTTACCGAGAGGAGAAAATATGCTAGCGGAATCCTACAAAACACAACATTTAAAGATTCTATTTCTTACATGTTTGGTGATGAATTAAAGCTGCATGTCGAACTCAATGTGAGCAGCTTAGGGCTGAAACGATTAATCGTGATGAATCGATTATTGAAATCATCGTAAGCTAAAAATCAGTTTATTGTTAACTGAAGTATACAGACTCACATTTGCTGAAAGAAAAACCACAAAGATTTGTACAAACCAAAACTATACAAAATGTATAGTATTAAAAAATAGCAAACTGTCTACAAATCTTTTCTATCCAGAACTCCTTTAGTGACGGTCTTAGCTTCACCTGATTCAAATGATGTAAAAACAAAAAAAAAAAAGGACGTACAGACACCTATTGCTATCCAATTATTAATTGGTTAATTCAATAATAATCATCAGATCAGATGTATTGCTGTTAACAAAGGGCCGACTTTGTCACACGTTGACATTAGGATTTTTTAGCTGCATTTGCATCCCTTGCTACAAATGATCAAGAGTTCACTAAAGCAATGCTGTGTTGTTACATTTCAGGAAATAAAATAAAAACATTTTTCTTTATTTTCCACAGAGCCCCTTAGGGGACATGTAGAACATGTTTTCTTTTGCATTTAATTGGAATATGCTTACTGCGATCTGCTGGTCTATTTTGTACACAGTCACAAATGTCAAATGTATACACATTTAAAGAGTCTCAGTGTTTATTATTAACCTTTTGGTGCAAAAAACTGATTGAAAATCAATTTATCCACTGCATGTTTATGTCTGTAAGGTTGAGATGGAAATGGCCCTTTAAACCATTCAGACCAACACGAAAGACACACAATCAAAACTGTCAGATAACTATTACCCTGTGATAATAACTCAGAAATAGTCCAAATAGTTTGGATGTATTTTTTATTTCTTTCCTTCTTATGGAAAGTTTCTGTTTATATCACAGGTTTGTGGTGCGTTTCTATCCTAAAGTAAAAGATATAAAATTTCAGATGTATTAATGAGATATTAACACGCATAGAAAAACCTTGCTTTATAAGCTTTATATTATAGCAGAAAGTATGATAGCCACTGTAAGAAAGGCTTACAGTATTCAATTATGCCACATGAACTGCTCAGGACATTATTGCAAGGGAACACAAAAGAAAAAAATTCCTTCATGTCCCCTAGGGGACTCCATAATTTTCTTAATTATCAAATAAATATTTTTATGCATTTTTAATATTGTACAAAAGATATGATAGATTATTTTATTAGTCTCCTATAGGAGAAATATGTCTTGGAAGCAGGGGCAAAACTGAAATACAACAATAAAAGCTCATCTAAAAGGACAGTAACCAAAAAAAATACATAAAAGCACGAATCTCAGATCAGCAATACATCCCCATAAACAAAAAGCCAAAGCTATAAAATGTGCCAATTTTTTTTTTTTATCCGATTCATCGATTAATCATCAAAATTGATACAATACTCTATTGCTAAGACAATCGTTAGCTGCAGCCCCAGAATATGTTACCATTAGCCATGAGGAACTTTGGGACGAGGTCCACATTCCAGTCCCGTCCCTTTCCCATTGACTCTGGAGGGGTCCCAGGCAGGTGGAAGCGCTGGTAGAGCTGCAGGGAGGAAGCAGAACCCAATGAGACCCCCAGCTTACAGGCCTGACTTCTGAAACCAACACCGTCTCCAACAATGCCGACACAAAGACAAAGCACCGTCTGTCTGTCTCAATACTGATGGGAGGTTGACACTGGTTTTAGGGCGACTTACATCTTCCAGTGGTGTGATAGAAGCGCTCTCAGCTCCGTAGTATGAGTTGCGGTCCATGTGAAGAACCTTCTTCCCCTTTACTGACATAATGCCTGATAAAATGCATTCCTGGAGAGAAAAAAAAAAAAAAAAAAGCACACAATTAAAAGAGCAAAAGTCAAATGTCTTCATAAAGGTTTTATTCTAGTGTTTCAATAAAGCTCATAGAGGCTCCATAATGAAGAGAAGTATGCATGTTCCTTTATTCTGGAATTTATGCGATTATAGCAGCAAGTTTGCAGAACTAAGCGGGTGTAACATGCATCATGTGACCAGAGACTTAAAACAAGTTTTCTGCTGAGCGTGAGGTCACTTTCTACAACTTCTGGTATCATCATCACCACAGAAAGCAACAGGCTCTGCATGTTTCCTGTTTGTCAGGGAAAAGCTGCCCTGAAGGAAGGAGAGCGGCAAACACCTTTCTCGTGTAGAACCAGGACAAATTGAACAGCAGCAGAACAGAAGACGGGTCAATTTGTGGATTTAAATTTTTTAAAAACTGGTGGAAAAAAGCTGTAGCAACTTACATTGTCTCACAAACACACCGTCTGCGTTAGCTAAGATGTTATAGTTTCAAACCCTACAACCTCTGGTGACACTTTCAGCATTACAGCATAATGTTTAAGGCAGCAGTTCCCCTCCTGCACCTGTTGCTGCACAGTGAAGGTCTCCTGGCAGGTTGCACCTTTGCTGAAAACTAGTCTGCTGCTCTGAAATAGCTTAGATCAAGAAAAACCGGCTTTCCTCTGCAGTGATCTGCAGCTGAAGCCGCCTGCCTCAAGAATAAAAACAAACACGGACAGAGTGCTCATCACAGTAAACGCCACACTGACACAGGAGAAACGCACATAAAGTGTGCAAACATCAAAGCTAACAAAATTCACTTGAAGCACAAAGTCCATGTTCACATCGTAACCCATTTTAGCCATTAAACCTTGAAGCATCCACTCATTTGATGTAAATGAAAATAAAACATGCCCAATATGTGGCCTGAATAAGACAAAAGCTTTCTAAGAAATGGACACTTGGAAACAATAAAAATTATGGACCACATACAGTATTTATTAGGACAGTGCAATGAAAGTACTGCTAAGCCCACTGGAACAAAATTATTTCTTCTTATTTTACTTTTTCTAACCCAAAAATCCAAACGGGTGGCCTAAGCATATTAAAAATTTCAAACTTCACCCAAAATTGTCCTCAGCATGAAATCAAATGATTTTAATTAAATCAAAAGTGAGCATTGTCTAACTGCAGGCAATACTTTTTAGTGAATGGGCCTAAGTGTTTTCCTTCTACAGAATCATCAGATGGCTGGGAGGCCCAGACCCAGAGGAACGGCTTCATGCACCATGCTGAGGTTCGCGTTGGTTCGTTAACCATTAACACTCCGACCAACCGGGACCACAAACATAAATTTTACAGGGAAGACAGAGCCGGGCGCTGGGCAATGTGTTGAGATGGAAAAGCCACACAAAATTCTTTGTAAACAAATATAAATCATTCTCACCACTCGTTCAACACGCACGTCTGAAAGCGCGACTACAAGTTATTCCTGCGGTTCACGTAGAGCTGCGCGACCAGAGCTAACTGCGCGACCAGAGCTAACACAGTGGGGTTTAAACTCCTACCTTTATCAAAAACTCTGGAAAGAATCTAATTCCTCACTGGGGGTTGATGCAAACATCCATACAGGTTAGCCTGTGTCCAGTTTCAGTAAAAGGCGGCACGCGCGATCTGCGCCGAGTTAAACTTAAGACATTCAGTTGCTGTAGCGCGCGAGGCAACGAGCAGAGGCGCCAGTGGTGTGATTGGTGCGGCTTTAAATGCATAAACTATCTTCTATAAACATATTTTTAGGAATAAATCTCCTCCACCAGTGAAACACTCAGAGAAACAGAGACGCTTACTATCGGCTTTAAAAAGAAAACAACAAAATAGCGATTTTTCTTTTTTTCTAAAAACATAAACAAGAAACACTTAGCCTGGCAGCGGCGCTAGTAAAGCACTGCGGGCCGCCAGGCCTATAATACACTAGGGGAAACTAGGGCTGTAGTGATACAATAATCTCATGATACGATACACGGTATTCTGCTCACAATACAATATATATTGCGATATTCAGCAAACGATACAATTCAATACTTTTGCGATTTTCTTAAAGATTTTAGAGGGACAGAGTGATTTTGGTGACATGTTGTGACTGTTATAGACTTGGATTGAATTAATTTAACTGAAAACTGATTAAAAGCACCAACTACACAATACCTGGCTCTGGTTGGACATGGACACAGATTTAAAGTCGACAGCTGGTCAAAATGAATCAAAGAAGTTGGTGAGAAAACATGTTCCTTTTAATTGAAACAGTACAAACTGTAGCTTGCATGTAAAGTAAATAAAGTGCACCAAGTAGCCTGCTCTGAATAGTTTGATACCTTTTTAACCTTGACACTTAACATCTGAAGAAATCACTCCAAGCCTGATGACCTAATCACTCTCCCGGTAAAGCAAGCAGTGAGTGAGCAAGGTGACAGCTGGATGTTACGATATTTGCGGATGAATATCGATTTTTTTCTACAAAAGAAAATATCGATATATATTGCAAAATCAATATTATTACACAGCCCTAGGGGAAACCCTGCATGACATGTAAATCCAACCACGTTTGCATTTTCTGGCCATAATTTTAATTGTCACTTTTTCACTCAGTATTTTTCTTTGAACCCAGTATATTCAGGGGTGAAGAGCCACAGCTGAATGTGAAGAGCTAAAATCCACAAATCCTTGACACCTCCCCTCAAAGCACTTCTTATTTTAATTGTACTAACAATTTACCTTGATGCACATTAATACAAACAGTGGAGACCGTATTAGCACTACCACAGAAGATAATTTCTATGGTTTTCCTCATCTCCACTATTGGGGATACAGCCAACCAAAGGTCAAAGGAAAAAACACCCCTCCCAGATTGGCTGCTTTACTATAAATGCCCCTTCTTTCCTGCATCTAGATGGAGTCTGAGCTCAGTGAAAACCAGTTCAAGGTCAGTGACATTAACATGTAGAAATCAGAGATCATCTCATAATTCCCACATTTTTATTTGGATCATCCAGGAAAGCTCTCTCTCTCTCAAACTGATGTTACACATCGCACAAGATGTGGTGCATGTTATTCTGCCCAGTAACTTAAACACTGAAACAAAGCAGAAGTTAAGACACCCAGCTATATCAATAACACCTGTGACACCTTTGCATCCATAAGTTAGCTGTTTGACCGAAAAAGAGGAAGGTGGTAGATGTTGGTGAAATCACCGATTTGAATCAGGAACTGAAACCTATGAAGCTTCAACCCCCTCCCTTCATACAAACAGTTTTAGTCTCTGTGTGTTTTGACTGATATTAAGCTCTTATTGAACCGGACTTTCAGAAAATGTGCGTTGATCTTTCAGTTCCAGTCCTGTTGAGACCACACCCAAGTGAGTTTCACACTCACACATAAGTTCTATAAAAACACTTCAGTAGTAATGATTTTTTTTTTTGTTTTGTTTTTGCAGTGACATTAATGTGGAAGAGTATTTTTAAAAGTGTAGGTATATATAAAAAAATCATATTAGCATTTCCTTTTACAATTAAGTTCAGCAGGTTGTGGAGAGTGCATGATAAGTTATGTCGCTCCTCATATATAGCATAGAGCTGCTTATTGGCCTGCAATAAAGTCATCACGGGGTTTCATTGTATGCTTCAGCCATTAACTGCCTGCGAGTCAGGAGGCCTTCAGGACTCTAACGCTGTCCATAAAGTGATGGAATGGTGAATGTGGTTTTGGAAATGCTATGAAAGACTTCCTTAGTGTTACAACATCATCATACTGGAATAGCTCAGGAAATCTCCCAACAATAACCGAGGCAGAGACTCTGTGCGCCTCTTAAAAGTGTCACACTTAGAACACAGAAGGGTGTGCAGTTGAAGCACTTCACTTAAAGTACTAAAAGTGTAAAGAATGAGGGACTTCTGCAAAAGTTTATGATAAGTCTGTAAATCGACTTCAATTCGCTGCAATAGTTTTCGCGTCTTTTCCACAAATAGTCCGAGCGGAAACTTCATGAGTTTGAAAGGTTGCTTGGTGTTACGATTAATTTAATCTAGTGAGTCAGAAACTAGTCAGACTGACTGAAAAGTGGCACAGAATCAATAATTCTGCATTCAAACATAATCCAGAAAGATTCCCAAAGGAAGCGAAATCAAGGGAAATTAGTTTGCTCAAAGTGGCCTAACCAATGCTAGCGGACTTATCCGCCTTTTAATCTCGCCTTGGCAAAGGAAAGCTCAACTAAAGTAGCGCTCTACTTCAGATATTTGGTGAAGTTTATATTTAAAATATCGTCAGAGGAAATATATTCTGAATAAATACTAACTAGCTGAAAGGTTAACTACTCCTCTAATGCAAGTTTAATCTTTCCATTGACAGCACATAGCATGATGCTAAGTGTTCGCCTTAGCTGCTCGGTTTCGGGTTTCCATTACTTTACATTACAGCGCCGCTCCCCTTAGCGGCTAAGCTAACTACTTAGCTAATTGGGCCTAGTTATCTCGAAGCCAAGCTGTCAGCCACCAACTGCGCTAGTAACAGGTTGCAAATCAAGTCTGCGCTCTGTTCCACGTCATATTCCGCTTTCTCACCGTAAGCCCGGTGCCCAGGACGATAACGTCGTACTCTTCATTCATTTTGCAACGCTTTTCGTCTTCTGCTCCTAGCTATCGGGAAATAAGAAAATGGAGATCTGTAAAGACTGGAAACGAAAAGGGGCTGCAGCTCAGCGTCAGGCGCGTGACGCAGGGGGCGGGGCTTCCGAGCTTGTCACTCTTTAGTGGAGAGTGCAGAATGTGATTGGCCTCTTCAAGTGCACCTGTATCCATCCCTGGGAGAAATATACCAAGTTATATCTTCATATATATTGAAGATTATTCAATCTGTATTATGTTTAAAATTATTTAAATATAACCTCAAGTGTGGAAAACACAACGTCAGTTGTTGGCAGGCACTGTTACGCCACCTCATTTGCTTTTGCCACAACTCTTTAAATTAGCATGTTATTATTTAGCACTTAGCATGTTTGTTGTTCCATATAACAAAACATTTTGAAAAATTACTGGTTGCTTGGATTGTTTGCCAGGAGGATGGAGTAAGTCTCTATTGAAGCACAATATAGATTAACTTGCATTAATATGAGTCTTGATGAGCAATGTGTCCTAGTTTTTGACCAAACTAGATATGTTCAGTCATGATGTACATCACTGGAGAAAACTAAACAGCAAATCAGCACAAAATCCTCAAACGAACCAATAGCCATGGTGTTAGACATCTTTTGACTTGGGCTTTTTCATTGCCAATAGAACCTGTTTAAATTCATTAACGTGATGTGACAAAGTGTGAAATGTGTATGAAAACCTTTACTCAGTGAATGAAATTTTTTATTTTTATTTTTTTAAAGATTTATTGAACAGATTTTTACAAAAAGTCTACACAGCCATCTGGCAGGAAAAAAACCTCTCATAACAAACCTCCAAATAAATATTTTTATCTCATATTTCCGCTTTCCAAGGAACGGCATGAGCAAAATAGAAGGTCATGATATTGTCAAGATGCTGTCAGATAAGGGAGCATGCTAAGACACAACCTGATCTCACAGCATCTGCTCATATTTATAGTGAATTCCTCTAAACTCTCTCATAATAGCTTCTGTCTCTGAAATGTCAAAGCTTCAAAGTGACAATGAAAAATATGCGTTTGTTTTCATGACGATCCTGTGTGTGTTTCTGGCATGTCACGCTCAAACATTCGCAGTACATTCTGCTTCTTGGCCAGCTGCTGGGCTGTTGCACCGGATCCGTCCTCAGAGTCCTGCAGTCCGAGTAGCAGCAGTGTCCAGACTGCTTCTGCATGCTGCCCAATGCAGGCCATGTGGAGAGCTCAGAGAGGGAGGACAAATGAAGAGCACATGGACTAAAAGTTCTTGTTCTTTGCAAAGTTACATTTATCCAGCTGCAAATGAGAACACATGCTGTCTGACACACCGCTTACCGGTGCGTCCTTTTTTGTCCCGAGCATGAAGATCTGCTCCAAGTTCCACTAACGTTTTAATTATGGCAGTGTGGCCCTCCTGAAAAACACACAGCCTTATTAGTCTCAGATTGCTGCCAAAAAGCTTTTTATAAAGGCTTTTGTAACAATTTTAAATATTTCTTTAAGTCACACTTTTTAGAGGGATTCTGTTGAGCGGCTGAAGTAGTCAGTAACTTCCCTGCTGCAGATATGTTTCCTAGTATATTTATTTCTTTTCTAGAGGCAGGATACTATGGTTGATTAAACAACTTTAATTTCACAAGCCCAAAAGCAATATTTTATGCATAAACTCTTTGACCAGAATGATAAATGATAATATTCATAGAGCTCTGTGGCTCTTTTAAAAGAAAAAAAGTTTGTCTGTGATACAGAACAATTATCCTCTAATGTCAAACATGCAACATCTTAAACTGTAACTGTCTGTCATAGGACAGTTTATAAGTTTTTTCACAAATGTTCTGTTGGGTCTCGACTTTAACTGGTCCATTTCCCCAATAGGTCGGGTTCTTATTGCTGTTGCTGGAAGGACAACCCTCACCATTTCCTCAATTCTTCTACAATCTCTAATAGTTTTATCTTCCAGGACTATGTTTTTTTAACTTCATCTACCTAACTGGGGAATTCTGAAAACTCAGATTTCACGGTGCCTGTGGATTTGGATATAATAAAAGAAGTTAGTGTTTAGTTCATATAAAAATTACATGAGAAAAAACCAACAGCTGCTGCATTGTAGATGCACTATCAATAGAACTTATACACACAGTTAGGCAGTGATGGGAGTTGAGCATTTTACCTCCAGTCAGCTCTCATCTGTTGGTAATTTCAAAAGATATTTTATCAATGCGTGAAATACATCAAAACTAAGATATTTCACAATTTTAGATTTGTAACTCCACCAACAAACAGCATGTCCTTATGCACTTCAGAAAAAGTTTCTGACCTGCGTTAAAGCGTAGGTTATGACATTCTTAAAAAGTTTTTTTCATGAACTAATTAGTTTATTTTTAACGTGTCATGTTTGGCAGTGTGGCTCTCAGGATTAATTTCTGAGTCCAAACAAGTGGAGCATTACGGCTATCCCTATAATTCTCCACTTGAGATGTACATAAAAGATTTAATTAGAAATTGCTGAGTTTATTAAATATAATGGACACAGAGACGGAAAAGAAAGCGAAAATGAGGAAAAAATAAGGGAGAGCAGTTGGGCAAAAGTATTTAAAGGAAAATGAGATGAGAGAAGAAGAGAAAGGGAAGAATAAAGAGAATACGGCTTAGAAGTCTGCTTCTACACCTGCAGAAAGAGAGAGAAACTGAACCAAGAAATGCATATATAATAACATCAATGTCACTGCATGCTATAAATTAATACTAGATGTATTTAGTTGCTGCCACAGCCCAATATAGAATATATGAATCGTAACACCTGTGTGCGTGTGATTCCTGTATTAGCTGTTGGTTTCTGCAGCACATCTCATTCCCCTTCATGAGTTTAGTTCTGACAAATCACAATTGGTAGAAATTGCTTTATGCCAGGAAAAGCCTGATTGGCTTGATTTAGAAGTGAGCTATAAAACTTCTTCAACAGGATGTTTGGAGATATAAAACCATGTGGTGAGGATGTTTACATTTGCAACATACCTACATTTAAACTTTGTTTTTTCTTAAAGTTCACTGTTAACTTTCCTCAGTACAAATCAAATGTAGTGAGAGGGAACAGGTTTGAATGGTTTGAAAGCCTCTTGCCACAGACTCGTCTTTAAATGGAGTCTCCATCTGCAGTCACACAGAGCAATACAACGGCTCAGTGAGGAAGTAGGAAACCAGCTGTGGTCAGCCAGTGAACAAAACAATGACTCAAACCCAAGTCACAGCAACGACGCTGAAGCAGAAGTGAACATGCTAACTACACATGCTCCCAGCTCATCTGTTCTACAAACATTCACTCTTTCTGTAAGTTCCTACTCAAGTCCTAAAGTGCAAATGTGCCAGAACCTCAAACTGATAGCTGCTGCTCTAACCTTTGCAGCATAATGCAGCGCAGTGAGTTGGATGTCAGTGGCTCTCTGGTTTACGTCCACAGCCAGGTCCAGCACCAGAAAACGGAGCGCCTCCTCCTGGCCAGTGACAGCCACCTGGTGCACCGGCTGAGCCCCGAGAACATCAGCTGCCACTGGAGACGCCTGCCAAACAATCACAGACACTGCTGTGAAAATATATTCTGATTTGTAATACGCTCCTCTAGGACACCAGTCACATAAAGAAGTGCGATTTTTATCACTAAAGTGCATACATATTTTCGGTTGTATCTTCAGCTGTTGATAAACTGTTTAGCTGAAGTTAAATTATGGATGGAAAAAAACTTTCTTCACCTCAATGAAAGCAAAACTCAAGTTCTATTATTTGGTCAGAAACTTCAGACTACAAATCCAGATCAGATTCTTGGTTCCTTGGCTCGGTCTTATCAGACCTCTGCTAGGAATCTTGGTTTCACTTTTGACAGCTCTTTAAAGCTAGATAAACAAGTTAGTTCTGTCGTTAAATCGAGTTTTTACCACCTTCGGCTTTTAGCAAAAGTTAAATCTTACTTCAGTTTCAAGGACTTTGAAGGACTCATCCATGCCTTCATAACAACTCGTCTGGATTACTGCAACTCTTTATATAGAGGGTTGGATAAATCACAGATTCAGCGACTTCAAATGATCCAGAACGCAGCAGCACGGCTTCTTACAGGAACCAGGAAGCATGACCATATAAGGCCAACTCTGGGATCTTTACACTGGCTGCCTGTCTTTTATCAAATAGATTTTAAGATTCTTTTGTTAACTTTTAAAGTTTTAAATGAGTTAGCCACCCCCTCTTATCTTTGGGACCTTTTAAAATTCCGGTCTGTGTCCAGAACTTTATGGTCAAATAATCAGTTATTACTGACAGTTCCTCGGACTCGACTTAAGAGGAAAGCAGATCGAGCTTTTTCTGTTGCTGCTCCTGTTTTATGGAATAACTTACCTTTCCAGATTAGATCTGCCCACAGCCTGGATCATTTTAAATCACTTCTTAAAACTCATTTTTACTCTTTGGCATTTAATTGACGTATTGTTTTGTGCTCTGTTTTGTCATTTGTGTTATCATTCTTGTACAGCACTTTGGTGCAGTTTTATACTTGTTTTAAAGTGCTATATAAATAAATTTGACATTGACATTGATAATTTTTTCAGTTTTTCGTTAAAAAAAACAGAGCAGAAAACAGTAAAACTAAAAATCCCAATGGTTTTAAATATTATTAGTTGGAATTTATCTTGACGACGGTAAATCAAAATTCTTATTTTGACAAGAAATTTATCTCAATAAATGATAAGCAAATATAATAAATGCATGATTTGATTTGAGTTCTAGATATGAAGTCCTTTAAGCTTCACACTCTGTAGTGGGTTTGAGATTCTTATTTTGAAATAAGACAGAAAATAGTGTTTGAGTTGTAGACCAGTTTTATGACGGCGTTATCTAATAAAGACTGGGTTGTTACATTGAACTTAATAAGGGGTGTATCCTGTAACACTGAGGTGTGTTTCCCTTCAATGCCTCTGATAAAACAATGAATGGCTGACAGTCCAATGTGTGTTAAAGTCACTAATGGATTCTTGTCAACTGATCAGAGCCACAGCAGAACT